ATAACATATGAGTCATGAAAATGGATGATGATATAAAGCTCTACACTCACTTCAGAAACTTAACGAAAGAACTTAGTTTGATGCATAAATAATTAGACAACCAGGGCATGGTAAACAAATTTCCGGTTTACATATGACACAAGCCTATTGGATTTTTCTTTGAGCATGTTTTTTTTTTTAATTTTGGCAGCATTTAGTACTAAAGTCGTCTCTCTGATTGGGTAACTGCGTTTTATAATTCAAAAGAGAATCAGCAATATTTTAACTTTTAGTGTATGAAATTCTAAGGAATGATAACGGATATCTTGACGATATATATTTGTTCGGTAATTTATGATAAATCATTTGCATAGGCGGCGGAATTAGGATGTAGCAGTGGGGCACATGTCCCCATTTTGAAGCGGTAGCGAAGTGCCACTTTGAACAGGGAATAGAGACTTGCATATAACTATCATGGAAAGCCGCTGTTTCAGTTTTCAATTCAACGACAGCACTTAACATATCAGAAAGAGTATCCCCAATTGTCGGTGTCTACCCCTCAAACTTAAATTTGTTCCGTCGTCTATGATCACTCGATACATCTGTAACCAATACTGAGTAGGATAATATTACTTTTATATGCCTTAATGCGAATTCAGTAAGCAACATTTTAAATATTCAGATTAGAGCACTGGAAGAATGTTTATTTTAAAGCAAGGACAGTACTGAAATTGCCACAACTCATGACTCAGACAAAATTAAGATGATTAGAATCAAAGTAGTAGTATACCATACAAAATTACGAATTATACTGGAACCAAGTTTTTGAATCGTACTTAACACAGTTGAATATTCTCACATGACTTACCCGTTATAAAAGTATATCAAGTTTAACCTTTTTCCATTCACAGATCCCTTTTAGCTAGCCGATTCGAGAAAATAAAAAAATAACCATGGTACGTTCGAATGCCAGGCCACATATTATTTTCAGTTTGAATAAGTTCACTTAAGAGCTTTGTTGCGCGCCGGGAGTAACCTAATAGTTATAGCGCGTACGGACTGTAAATCTGACGATCCATGATTTGCTTCCTGTTGCAAAAATACATTCTGCATTTTGGGCCTGTGGGTGCGCTATGACAATGACAATCAAGTCCTACTATTTGGTCATAGAAGAATATTTCAAGAGTTAGCAACAGTTGCTGTTGATAATCTGCTTTCCATGAAGTCTATAAGTCTGAAATTAGAGACGGCTATGCGCAGATAGCCCTTGTGTATCTTTGGGAAAATTTGTGAAACAAACAAACTTTATGAACAAGTTAATCTTCCAATAATTCCTAAATTGTTTCTGAAGCTTTGCATTGGCAACTATTGAGTTATCTGTAAGAATAAGGATTTATTTTTCATTTAATTTATGGATGCATAGAATATTATAGTTTTGGATTGAGGCCATTTAGTAAGTCCGAAAAAAATAACTACAGGATTATATAGGTAGCAGTCCTCCTCTAAGTCAGTGGCAAGGTTAAGAATTTACAACGCTACAATCTGGGGTTCGATTCCCTATGGTGGACAAAGTGCAGATAGCCCATTATGCAGCTTTCCACTCATAGTGAGTAGTAGTATTCAGTTTAAAAATAAAATGGTTTTTATCCGTACAGACAATGCTTAATTTCTGCCGAATCCCTGCAAATCTGAGATTCAGAATTTGCTTTGTATTTTTCTTCTTTCTTTTTTTTTAGATATAAAGGCACAAACATTATAGATAACTTTAAGAATGCCTCAGTTTTATAGCGAATTAATATTGACTGATATAATGAACTGCAAGAAGTGAAAAGAATAATTCATAAAACATATTCAATAACAACAAAAATAACACTTCAGGGGTAGGACCACTCTTCTATATTTGAAGTTTTCATCACACGTTTCACTTCTAGTTCAGACATGAACAGCTGTTTGCAGAAGGTAAATAGGTAGAAAGTATTCCATTTATGTTATTTTCATAATCATTTCTAACTATAAATTAAAACAAAAATTATCGTATCTTTTTTGATTTTGGTTTATACAAAATGTTGTAGTGGGTACCACACGTATTTTTTTGTTTTCAGATATTAAACATAATTTGTGAATTCTTTAGTGTCTCTTGTTTTTTCTGATCATTTACTTTCCTTTCATTGATAATGAAGCGAGTTTAGCGACATCTTTTAGTATGTTCATCATTATCATGATGGACATGTCTTGATTAAACGATTGTATGTTTTTGCGTATGATGATTAGACACGCACATTTTATGTGAAGTTGTATTTATTGTAAACAAGGTATTTGGTTAAAAGTCGGATGACGTATTATCTAAGTTCTGTGTTATGGATTTATTACTCAATTCTTAAAACTTATGAGTGAAAGCAAAAGGAAATATGTTATAGTATGTCAACCATACTACATCCGCTATATCCATTGCCGACGAGGCCTTTCGCCCAATGCCAGGGCTCATGAAACCGGCTGGGATAAGAACAGACGCTATATGTATATACATCATTAATTTTCATTAACAACAATTATTACGGCGTGCATCACATTAAGTAGGTGAATTGTAACTATTATCAATTTTATTTTATGGATTTAGTTTTAACGCTAGAATAAGTATCGTTTTTTGTTTTGTTTTTTTATTTAGGACATTACCAAACCAGTTACGTACGTACATGCGTAGACTTTCACAAGTATAGTCAAATCTTATGTTGCGTAGTTAATAGAATGAAACTTTAAGCAGCTAATAATGCAAAAACTGAAAAGGTTAAACTTTTAACGTAATGTTGCACTTCATTAGTGGCTGTATTACAAGTGTATTTTAATGCATTTTAAATTTTTCATTAGATATTGTTCCTAGACTTTAGGTAACAGCTCGATCAGTCTTTTATGAATTTATTAAGTTGTGCCTGGTTGCTAGACAACTACAAAGTGCGCTCAGTTCGTTCTAACAGTTTTTTCTGTCCCCTTAGAATATGAAATGGATGAAAAACTATGTTTTTAGTTTGAATTGTTGGCTTATTTTGCAAGGAAATAGTAATGAGAGTTTCTGTAGTGCTAGAATAAATTTTGGTAGCAAATGTATATAGAAATAAAGTTTATTTCAACTTAATTCGTTAGCTTGTTTGTTTGTAATTAAGCACAAAGCTACACAATGGGCTATCTGTGCTCTGCCCACCACGGGTATCGAAACCCGGATTCTAGCATTGTAAGTCCGCAGACATACCGCTGTGCCACTGGGGGGCAATTCGTTAGTTAAATAAGTCACTTAGTTTTTTTGTTTTGTTTGTAAACAAAAATTTTCCAGTTTGTTTTGATAAAGTTAGTGATCTGTTGTCTTTTTTAAACACAACGTGGTCAAAAAAGCCACAGATGTTAATTTCAATTTTACCTTTGTGGAAAGAGAAAAATAATCTGTAATATATATATACATATAAAGCTCTAGGCTGTTGAGTATTGTTTCATCAGCTTCATCTATAGTACACAAATACATGTTCTCGTGCAGGATTCTTAATTTGTTTTTTGAAGTCTTTGTTGTTGTTGATTAATACCATAGAAATACAGTATAAAGGACAGAACCATTTTTTGTTATTTCAAAGACAATGAAGCTTAACATTAGGTATCGTGTTATTTGACTAACAAAATGAAAACATGTTAGTTAAACTTTTTACGCGAGGTATTTCGAGTAATCAAATAGACTGACTGTAATTGTAAAGTGCGTCTTAAATCTATAAAAATGCTTCTATTACTTGTGTATTTGCATTTTTCTCTAGTAACAAAGGATCTCTTTTCTCACATTGTATAATATTTAAAAACAAGGTATTAAATCATATGACATTCTTTCATTACTATTCTTTTATACTTCTATTACTTTTATTTTAAAAAGTGTGCGATTAAAAACTTGAAATATTGCTTTGTTGCAAAACAAAATATAAATTTAACATTCTGAATAAAAGATAGTACTGCTTTTAAGAGTAGACTTTTAAAATTAGATGTTTATATCAGTATTAGTATTTTCATTCAATGTTTGCTTGGTATCTTTGGACAGTTCTTGGAGATCTTGTGAGCTGAGGTGTGCCACTATTGCTGCTCCAAATGCATCTCCCAAAACGTTGACTGCTGTCCGAAAACGGTCTCTGTGAAAGTTAAAAAAGGCTACGCTGTAATATGCTAACTGAAAAATGACGATGCTAACAGCCACACCAAATGATAAGTTAGTTTATTAAGCAAATCAATGAATTTCACCAAAGCACAACGATAACGGAAAACAAACAAGCAAAAACTTAACATTACCCTCAGGTCTCCTTGCACAACTGAGGAGGAGGTTCAAAAATGCAAAAGAAATTTATAGAAGTTGAAATAACCTATCGACGGGCACATGCAACCTATCCAAAATCCTCGATGATCGAAGATGTATATTTCATCAAATCACACACACACAAAATTTTACTTATTACTTATGACCTGCTGTGTCCTCAGCCTTAACTGTCAGTAGTTGTGAGCTTCGCACCATATATATTCTATTATTAACTTAAAAGTAATTATCAAAGCCCTAACAAACTACACAATAAACTATTTTTTTTTTAATAAAAAAAGCAGATATATATATTTTCAAGTTTGTGATTTATATTTTATTGTATTGTATCACGTAATTCTTAACTCCGAAAATATATCAACTAAAAACATGATCACTTAACCCTAAGTTATACCTAGTTTTTTATATCATTCACTGCCTACGGGGTCCACATAATAATCATACTGACTGATTTCATATTCTTGCCTGTGTGTTTGTTGTTAAGCGCAGAGCTATATAATAAACTCTATGCGCTCTGTCCACTGCAGATACCGAAACCTAGTTTCAACGTTATAGATTCAGATTTACTGCTAAGCCACCGTGGAACATTTTTGCCTGTTACAACATTTGTTGTAAAGAGTTAAATGTATTTTGTGAAACTATTTATTTTCTACGCAAATTACACAGCAGTAATTAGTAGGATTAATTGCAATTTTATTAGTATTTTGTGTTTAGATTTTTTTTTGTTGTTGTTAAAGTTTTAGCGCAAAACTGCACAATGTGTTATATACGCTCTGTCCACCGTGAAGTATCGAACACAAAGGTATTAACGTTGTAAGTTCGGGAACTTACTGTTGATCCACTGGGGGGAATCCATATTGTGTGCATAACTCACGTGATGTTCAGGATTTTGTAATTAATAAAGTCATGGACTTACAAGTAATTTGGTCCACAAATAGTTTACAAAAATGTGTTTAAAAAACTGATGGACAAAGTCAGTAATTCAGGAGCTCATATATAGACTTAAGTTTATACATATACGAAAAAGCTTGAAAAAGAAACGTTCTTTCTTTAACTAAAATGACTCAGTCGCAGTTGTTAAATCTTTTATTTTTGGTACAATCTACAAAAGTTCTATAAAAGTCGTTAAATATTTCCTCTATATAGGAGCACAGTAAACATTTACTTACATAAACCAATCCACTACAAATACAAGAGCAGCGTCCTCTGGTGGCAGGCCAACCACATTAAGTACTAACACCATGGTGACAAGAGCAGCTTGAGGGATCCCAGCGGCTCCAATACTAGCTGCTGTAGAAGTTACACTAAAACATTGTAATAACAATAAAGTTGCAAACATTATTCTGCAAAATATATATATATAATCGTGATTAAACTAGAGGGCGTTTTTATATTGTTTGAAATGTATCAAGCGAATGGTTCCAAAGAGAAAGATGATCGTATGAAATATTGAACACTTACAAGAAACCGTTACCATACATACACAACGTCAAGAACAAAGTTCGAAGTGAAATTAAAAGTTTGTTGCTACCCTATTCTGAAGAAATATGTAACAATTCGTGATTGTTTAATTTTTTTCAATGCGTTAAAAGTATCCCAACACACATAACACATTACACTATAGACCCTATGTTGTTTTCTGTTTCATGAATAAATAACTTGTCCTAAAGTATCATAAGTAGTGTAGTTCTTAACACATCAAAATTAAATACATTATTATTATTTTCATATCTAGGATACGCGGCAGCTAATGTGGAATGTTGACTTTAAATTAAAATATGAATTTAGCATTCTGTGTTGACATGATCTTGGAAGAACAACAGCAATGACATTATTATTCATTCAGATATTTGAAACATATTACATTTATTTTCATTTATGAATGTTATTATTTTCTTTTAAGACTGCCAGGTAACGCAAAGTTTATTAATCCAGTTTTCAAAAGTTTTTATTTGTACTTAGGGAGCCATATTTACTTGACGAACAGCCATCGATTAGCCACCGCAAATATTCTCATAACCGAAGTTATTTTTGTTTGTTTGTTGATGTTGTTTGTTTTAGAACAAAGTCACGTTGGGCTATCTCCTGTGTCCATCGAGGGGAATTTTTGCGTTGTAAGTCAATAGACTTACCACTGTCCCACGGGGGACCTGAAGTTATTCTCATCACTTATAATAGCAGAAGTGCCAACAGATGGCGCCTTATTTTATAAGACTCAATCACCACTTCTGGCATAGAGATCTTGTTGATTTCAGCACAATAGATGGCACTATTGTATATATTATTTCGGTTCCATAGATAGATATATAGACGGCCACTCCTTTGCTCCATTATTGTAAGATACGAGATTAAATGCAGTGACTAAGTGATGGCCTTTCGTAAATTTTAAGCAATTTATCGAGAATAGAATTATATATATATATATTATTGAATAGAGTTGTTTAAACATTTTTTTAACAACAAGTAAAAGCTTGGAATGGTCTATTCTTTCAGTGGAGGTGTGTCTTGAGCCAGACTAGTTTTGGAGAATTCCACTCTTCATCAGTGACCCTGGACACTACCACCAATGAAATAGCAGACCAAACCAAGTCTTTATAGTAGTGGTGAATTTAAGGTTTTACACTCACAAAAAAGAAACCTATCATTCTATAGGTATATATATATATATTATTATTATTCATTTTGATAAGTTTGACATTTATGTGTTCAAGAGTTAGCGGTTGAACTGCTTTTTTATTGTTATAACATTTTAAATTCCGTAAATATAAATGTAACATGACTGGGTTAGATGTTTTTATATGTTACTGTTTGCATGCAGAGTTTTACATTTGCATGATTATAAACATATTTTGTAAGCGTAAGTACCGTGTTTCGTTTGTCTCCTGTGTATTCAGACATAATGAGACCGTGCATGCTTGGTATCTTTATTTTATTTCATAAGTGTTTACAAGTTAACCTTATACTCACGAGATGGCGACGATTTTACCAACATTAAGATGGACGTTCCGAAGCTGAGCAATAAAAATGGCTGCTACTGCCTCATACAAAGCTGTCCCATCCATATTGATAGTTGCTCCAATAGGAAGACAAAATCGAGATATCCTAGGATCTATCTTATTTTTCTGCTCTAAACATGAGAACGTGACTGGCAGCGTTGCTGAGCTGAAGTGAGAGAGGAAGATATCGTTACTTTTCCAAACATGTTATGCAATATATATATATATATATATATATTTCTGTGGTGTTTAGGATCAGTTTATTATACTATTTTTTTACTGGCTAATAAATTAATATGTTAGTGTTCTATAGCCAGAATGGCGTTGTAAATTATCCAGGAAGTGACAATGAAGGCAAAGAAACCTAATGTTTATTTGTTTGTTGCCCCTTCCCTTATACCACTGTGGCTCAGCGGTAAGTATGAGAGATTATAATGCTAAAAATCACGTTTCCGCAAATATGCTTGGTTTGAAGGTATGCCGAACAATATAGCCTTGATTATGTTGTGCCAACTGTGAAGAATTGGGGGGAAGGAAGTATAGTGTGTGTTATACTTCATGTGAGTGTAATCTTTGCAAGATCTTATTTATGAATGCGTTACCCCTTTTTTTCTTTTTCTGTTTACTAAGACTTGAAAAAGACAGAAAATTAATCTTGTGTCGCCTAGAAGCTTCATGTAGAATATATTGTTACGACAACGCAGGTCACGTGACGCTTGTATCACGCCACTTCCTTCTCGAACCTTCATGAAATGTCGGGAGACTACTAGATTGGGGTAGTCTTGTATATATAAGACCGGCCAAGAAGCAACGTAAGGTAATGTGTAATTGAACTGCGGAGAGAGAATATTGTAGAGCACGTGAGACGCTCGTTGTGAATTATAGCGTTTGTTACAGCGCGACTGTTGAAATTAAGTGTATCGCAAAGTTGTATTCATAAAGAATAAACCAGTTTTATTTAAGAAAGGACTTACGTCGCTAAAATTTCGTCGGAACGAAATTTACGGAAAATTAACTAACGAACGGAGGCGTAACAAATTGGTGTCAGAGAGTGGGACGGAAAAGAAAGAAAAAAAATGGAAACGAGAAACGGCAAATCAAACTACAGCTTAGCAAAAGAAACAAGAAGAACGAGAAAATAAACCAGAAAAGAAACAAGAAGAA